AAGGCTGAAACTGCATCTATAAATATGTACGCGGAGGAGGTACGCTGGCTGGTCGCATAGGCCTGGTGCGCTAGGACCGTGAGCGTGGCAAAGTCGGTGCCTCGCCCAGCAATGCCGCCAGACTGGGCGGCGCCTGCCACGGGAGGGAGATATTCTACCAGTTCTTTTCGCAAGAGGGCTCGATGCCGCTTGGAAAAGTGAGGGGACGCCATTACTGAGCGGGAGTTGGCCATGATGGCTGGGTTGCCTTTTCCTTTAAAAATGTCGAAATTATACCCTCCCCGCCAGGCCAGCGGTTCCTCAAGGCGCAACTGCGCCTTAAGGTGGACCGGGTAATACTGCTTTGCTAGTAGGCGGTGAAACGACTTGACAAAGGCTCCTTTGAAGCCGTCTACGCTGGCTGCAGAGTCAGGGGTCCCGGAATAGGCGCGTTCAATTTGCGCTAGGGTAAAGAGTGAGTAGGGGGGGGGGGGAACATCCACAGTGAGGTCGGCGGGCAGATGCGATGCACTAGCATCGTAGGCCTTGGCTTGTTTGAGCGGGATGACTGCACCGTGCTCTTGTCGGGCAAAGTGGGAGAGCCAGGTGTCGGCGGCCTGAGTGGCGTCGACAACGAAGGTGCCCGCTGCTGTGGAGAGGATAGGTAGGGGTGAGGTGCGTAGCTTCTTTTTGGAGCCAACGCCGAGCGTGCGGAGGCGCGCAAAGGCAGTGCGCTGTTGTGAGGTCTGCCATGCTTCGTGCACTTCGGCGGCAATACCTTGCAAGTGAAAAGAGGCGTCCAAGTCGACGGAGCATCGGACTGCCTGCGTGAATTGAGCTAGGATGATAGCCCTGAGGGCGCTTGCGCGCGCTCGTAGGTGAAGGGCGGCTGCATATGCGGTACCTATGGTAGGGGCGGAGCAGCCGTGAGGAAAGCGGGTTTGAGCAACGCGTATAGGAGAGACCGCCAAAAACTGGTGCAAGCAGGCCATGCGCATCCGGGGCTTCCATTTAATGGAGGCGTTAGGGCCCGCCATGCTGGCTCGCATGCTGCGCAGGGCAGCGCCGAGCTCCGCAAGCGTGGCGAATGCATTATTGACTGCGGGCATCAGCGAGCGCTCGTCGTGGTGGAGCAAGGCGGCTTGGGGACGGGTAAAGGCTTGCCTGGAACGCAAATATCGCTTCCAAGCCGCGATAGCTACCCGCAATAAAAGGTTGCACGCCTCTCGTTGTAGGGTGTTGGCCTGACTGATGGTCAAGGCTCTGGCATCCATAAGCACGAGGGTGGCCATGGAGATGCGGGAGTTGGTAGGTGCGCGGCCTGTTGCCGTGCGGGGTTGGGGGAATGCCTGTAGCATGGCGTTACGCGCCTCCCGGTCAAGGATGAGCGCGTGGTCAGAGGCATGTAAGTCGAAGGTTAAAAGTTCGGGAGGGGGCTTAAATGCGTCTTCAAAAAGCTGCCTGGCCGTCGGGTCGAGGTACGCTGTAGGGTCGTGCGGGATACGCATGACCTGGCATCCCTGATCCTCGGTTGGGCGCAGCTGAAGCTTGAAGCGGCAAGATAGGCACGGAGCAGCGTGGTCTAGTACAGCGAGTGCCAATGTAAGGGAGTACTTGACCTCGCACTCAGTGGCTGAAGCGCCCATTGGGATAGCTATGTAATCCCTGCGCTTCCAGTGTTGTTTGAAGGCGGGGTCGCGAGCTGGCGCAATCCACGTGCCCGATCCCATAGGGTGGGGCACAAAGGTGGCTGGCAGCCAGAGATTTGAGGCGAGTAGGAAGCGATGGAAAAAGGAGCCAGCAGTGTTGACCTGCTCCGCATGCTGGGGGCCGATGGCCGCTGATGTTTGTGTGCCTACTGCAGCATTGGAATCCATGAGGACCAGAGTGGGAGTGGGCTGCGGCAAAATATGGTCATGCACATGTCGAAGGTGCTGCCACCATGCGGCCTGCTCATGGAGAGGACGACCGGAATGGTGAGCATGCGCCACTAGGATGCTGAAGCGTAGGCCGTTCTGACTTATGACGGCCGCGATGATTCGCGGGTCTTGGTGTACAATGCGCACATTATGCGATTTTATAGGAAAGGTGGGGATGCCTTTGGCATTAGGAAATACGGGCGTGCTAAGGTTGACCCAGAGCGCGCAGCCGCAAGCATGAGTACCCGCTTGCGACTCGGACAGAAAAACTATGTACGGGGGAACTTGGCGTTCGCCAGAGCCCTTGGCGTTGACTCGCGTTTCTTGCATACCTATAACATCGAGCCCATTGCGTTGAAAGGCGGCGGCCAACTGATGTAGGCGTCCTTTGACGGCCACACCCGTAAGTCTGGCTCTTTGGGAGATGCGCGATGCAGGCGTGAGAGAAAGAATGTTGGCTGAGGCTAGCCTGAGGCAACAGGATGCGGTGGCGTCTGCAATAGGGGCTGCCTCCTCGGAGAGACCCGGAAAAACATCTGCGAGCGAGGTGCGGGGGGGGAGAGGAGGATTAAGGCTAACCTGATGGTTAGGCGGGTATAGGGCGCGCTGTTGCTGGGGGAGGCATTCCAGCCAGAGCCATTCCAAGATGCGCGCATTGTCCTGGAGAAAACTCATGAGGGGTGGGAGCGTGGGAGGAGGGAGCACTGCGAGGGAATAAAGTCTGGCTACCGTGTCAACCATTTCGTTGAGTGGGTCAGCCTGGTGACCGTGCACGCGCTGCCATGTAAAGCGACGTTTCAGACCCAGGACCTTGCACAGACTGTCAAGGCGACTTCTGTGCTCCATGAGTGGCTCGGCCACAGTACCGCCTTGGGCGGTAGAGACCACGTCCATGTTGTCTGAGTGAAAGGTGAGAGGAACGGCGGGAGGAAGCGGGGACTGTAGGGCCCATAGCGCCGCCCATGTGGCGGCATCGAATTCTGCCTTGGCAGAGACTCTCGTTGCTCCTGTCAGCTCCGGCGTGGGGCGCCCGAGGAAGCCGAGGAAGTGCCGAGTGCCGTTGAGCCATGCAAAGACCAAAAAAGCCCACGCTGGCGGGCCAGCGAGATCTCCTTTGGAGGCCCCTCCACTGGCGTCGGTGTATATATCCGCGGAGTCGAAAGCCGCGTAGGGTGTGTCAAAGGCGAGGCTGTGCCATGCAGGGAGTGAGGAGGAGTGGAGGGCGGGAAAAATGGCATCAAAATCCCTGACCAGCTGGATGGAGGTAGCCGTGAGAACCGGTAGCATCCATCCCATGGGCGGGAGCGGGCTGCGACGTATGCCTTATCGTCTGCCCAAGTTCACCCGTGGGCAGTGTCCAGGGGAGCGACCTGAAAAACCGTGCCGTCGCGCGCTGCCTGGGCCAGGTCGTCCTGAGCAGCCTGTGCTGCGTGGGCCTCGGCTTCGGCGCGAAGGTCCGCTGCCTCTGCGTCTGCCATTGCATCAGCAGGACTGCGGGAGGCAGCTGTGGCGGGGGCCCCTGCACGGGACGTCAGCTCGGCCTCGGCTGGCGCTCGCCTGGGGCGGCGGGAGCCGCGAGGGCTCTTGCTGCGTGCCGCCTGCTTGCCTTCAAAGTCTTCCTCGCTGATGCCTGATAGCGCGCGCTCGTCGGCCTGGCCCGCGCGTGCGGATCTGCCCCTGGCCTGAGCGCTTGCGCTGCGGTGGGAGGATGCCATGGTGACTGGCTCCCCTTTATCATCAGAGAGGTCCCATCCGAGCTGGCTGGCAGAACGGGTAGGCGGGGGCAGTTCGTTAGGCTCCCCTACGGAAGCTGCTGCTGGGCTCGACTGGTTGGTAGTGGCCTCTCCTGGTGGCGCAGTGGTGGACGCCTCCCCTGTCGGCGTCTCGGGCACTGGCGCTGGCCCAGGTTTAGGCACAAAACCTAAGCGGAAAAGCGGGCCCGCTCTGACGGGAGCGCGGGCTTGTTCAGAACCTGACGGTGCGGTGCCCCCCCCCCCCGGGCGTGGCACCGTGGCTAGAGACGGCGGCTGGCACTAGTTGCCCGGCCTTGATCTGTGAGGCTAGGGTGTCTACTGCATGGCGCATGGCCTGGGCCTGGGAGTCAAAACTTGCCTTGATGGTGGCTACCTCCCTGGCCATGGCCTCGGCGTTGCTCTGCATGGCCGCGGCGAGTGAAGTGATGCAAGGCTGTTCCAACCCTTGGAAGCCTGGGAGGGGCGCGGGGCATTGGAGGAGCGGAGGGGAGGGCGGCGCGGCAGTGAGGGACGTGGCCGTTCCTAGGTCTGGCGTGCCATCTCGATCTTCGCCCGCGTGCGATGCAGAGAGTGCCGCAGAGCGCTGTGCTGCTCCAGGCTCGTCCGCCGCCTCCCCCATCATGAGCGAATCAGTGATGGCAGCGACTGTCGGAGCCTGCGATTTGAAATAAGCTAGTAATGTAGATGCCTGGCTGAGGTCCGCTTGCGCGGTTTGAAGGGCCAGGGCGAGGTTGCGCACGTGCTCCTCTGCCTGAGCTTGCTTAGCAGCCAATTGCTCACAATCGGCATGCAGAGAGGCTACCACGTGCTCTTGCTCGCGAATCTTGGCTAGCGGATCCCTCGCATTGGCCAATTGAAAATTAACTAACGAAATCTCCTTACGGATCTCGGCGATACGCATATCGGAGTGTCCTAGGAGGGTTGAGGCCCTGAGCTGCAGGATCAGCGCATCCTTGCTCATGGCAAGGGCCTTGCGGTGCTCCAGCAGGCGGTCGGGCTCTAGCGGGGGATAAATCCAGGCTGAATGAGAGTGCGCCTCGTCAGGGGTGAGGATAGGGCATTGCGCTGTGAGCTCTGCTACTGATAGCTCAGTGGCAGGATCCAACGCGCCGAGAGAGGAGAAGGCTTGGTCGGCCATGAGGAACGGAGACTGCTGCACAGAGGCAGGGCCGAAGAGTGTGGGGGAGGTGGCCTCACCTTCGGGAGGAGGCGCAAAAGGCGAAGGCTGCGACCGGGGAGACTGCCCGATGATTCCCGTGTCCTTGGCGCCGTGCGGGGTGCCAGGAGCCTTTGAGGCGGGCTGCCCCCCCTCGCTGCGCTGGGCCTCGCGGGCCCTGCGAGCCCCGTCCTTCTCCCGCTTCTTGCGCTCCTTGCTGGAGAACACTTCTGGCTGGACCGTGTGGTCTCCTGGGGGTGCGGGGAGTAAGCCGTACTCCGCTGCCCATGCAGCCACCTGGTCGAATGATGGCGGATTTGACGGAGCATGGCCTTTGCCCATGTGTGCCCCACCCGTGCTTCCAGAAAAGGAGCGTGGGCCCTTGTGGCCCGGCCAGGGGCCCGCACCTTGCAGGGGCTTGTGCTGCTCCTGACCTTTGGCGGGGCCGGGTGTCGCCTGCTGGGGCCCTGCCGCCCGAGTCGGAAAGCAGGTGGGGCATGAAACGTCCATAGTGGTATTGGCCCGGCCGCACTGCAGGCAATACCAAAGCTCGGGAGGGGCGCTGCCTTTCTGGCGCACTGCTTGCTGGGGGGGAGGGAAAAAGTCAGCAGGCAGGCGCGTGGCATATAGGGACGGAGAGGGAGGAGCAGCCATGCGCTGCGTAGGGGAGGTAGCCATACCGCGCTGCTGCAGCCCTGACGTTGGCGAGAGAGGCGTCGCGCGAGGCGGGGGCAAGGTCGTGGGGACAGCGCCTTGCTGCGGGAGGCCCTGGAAAGAGTGGTGGTGAGAGAGCATCATTGCGGCTTTATGCACTCTTAAAAGTGCGCGGGCGTTTGCGCGCTGTTTGCGCGCTCTGCGATGATGAGCGGGCTCGTCGCGAGGCCGCTGGGGGTAGGAGGGGGGAAAGTGAGCAGGCGTCGCGCCTGGCGGATGGCGGCCCCTGCGGGCGTCGCGGCGGGGATCGGCGCGGAACCGGTTTGCAAACCGCTCGAGCCAAACCTAAAAAAACAAAAAAAGACGATGGAAGTGAGGCGGGGGAAGGGCGGGCGGCAAAGGGAACGGACGCGCGAAGAGGAGGCGCGCGGGGGCGGCGCAGCGGCGGCGGGGGCGACGGGAGGCAATCGAAGGGGGGCGGCGGCGGCGAGGGTGGCGAGAGGGAAGTTTCAGGAGGGTGGAATGACAACGGGGGGGAGTAGGGAGGGGGACAAGACGGCAGCCTGACAACAAAAACTACAGATAATCTGCAAACGGGACAAGACGTGCAGCGCGCTCGACGAGAGGAGGAGGAGGAAGAAGGGGGGGCTCTGGGCGCGATGCGGTGGGGCGAAGTGGCGCCGCGTCGCGCGACGCGACGTCGCCCCCGCCATGGCGCGACGCGCGCGGCTTCCTATCAACGCAAGGCGTCTTCGTCCTCAGTTGCGGTTGGCGCTCCCCGAAAAGACGCACCAGCGAATCCTTTTGCGCCGAATGGGAAACACAGCGCGTTGGCGGGCCGTCGAACTATTCGTGCGCCACGACCGCCAGACTGGCTGCCGTTGCGCCAGAAACCGATACATCGCCAGCGAAATGCCGAAGTCGCGCCACACGTCGCCCGCGCACCGTGGGAGGCCGGGGTTCGGGACAGAGACGAAAACCAGGGCCAGCGCACGGGCGACGCACGGGCGACGCACTGAACGAAACTCAAGGGGCGGGGAGTGGTCGCGCTACTGGGATTTAACACCACTCGGGTTTTTTCTGAACCAACGGGGGCAAGCACGAATCGCGCGCGCATGCCGCGCGTGATCGCACGGCACTTCATTTTACTTCACTGGCGGGTGTAATCAGGCAGCTCTTGGCGACCCGCTGCTGTTCCAACGCCGCCTTCATTGCCCTGGCCCCCGCGAGTGAGCTCGCGAGGTCCGCGACGCCTGTGGCCGGCTGGACGATGGCGAGACTGACCAAGGAGGAACCTGAAGAATGGCCGCCATGGGCCCGCCTTGGGTTTCAGGCATGACCGGGCACTTGATATCCCGCCCCGCGGCCGAGCGGCACGATGGAGACATGTCGACCGTGCTCGGAAACAGAGGCGGGCAAAAAACGCACCGACGCACGGCCGCGCGGCATGCCGGCAAGCCCGCGCGGGAGCCTGGCCCGCCCGACGGAGCGGCGGCGCGCGGCGGGTGGTCAAGCAGCCGCCCACCGTCGCGCTTTGCGACGCCGGCAGGATGTCCCCCACGCGTCACTCGACTCATGGCTTGGAAAAATGGACACCACGCCGCCTTGGGCTTCGCCACCTCCCTGAACACTTCGCGGCGCGCACTTTTGATAATCAGGCCCAGCCGTTGCAGGACGGAGGCCGGTTCGTTTTCGAGATGCCGCTATCGCCCCAGACTTCCTCGGAACCCATGACCCGACGTGTAAATCGCGCAGCGAGTACACGGGTGGAAAGCGGCTGCTTTTCAAAATGGGGCTATCGCTCGAGACGTCCGCAACTGTTATGACCAGAACGTTGACATAGCGTGCAACGTTTACTTTTTTGGTCGCGGGTGGACGCGGATTCGCAGTCGCCGAACAGAGAGGTCCGGGGCACGGGCCAGTCGAATTAGCACAGCCGCCAGTGTCGGCAAGCCAGCTCGCATTACTACAACAGGCAACACACCTGCAGTAAAAACAAGCAAAGAATGCAAGTGCACGTGCAATAAGCAAAATGCTCCTCATTCGGCAGCGGAGAGAGCAAGTTGGCAAGAAAAATCCCGACGGACCCTTTACCTCGTAGCTCTTCGGCATCGATGAGCTAGACGAATTCCGGCGCGGGGTGGAGCGAGTTGGCCGACCCGACCACAAGAGACAATGTGTCCACTTTGGGTTGGTTTTGCTTTGATTTGAAAGATATACCTCGTAGTGCTCTTCGACACCGATGAGCTAGAGGAATTCCGGCGCGGGGTGGAGCTAGTTGATCGACCCGGCCAGAAAGGACAAGGTGATAACGTACCTCGTAGAGCTCTTCGTTATCGATGAGCTAGAGGAATTCCGGCGCGGGGTAGAGCTAGTTGGTCGACCCGACGAGAAGAGACAATGTGACGCCCTGTTGGCGCCAGTCCGCGCGGCCGACCTATCCCGGACAGGTAGTACCAGGGAACCACAGCCGCATCGATGTCAGCCAAGACAGGGGCAGAAGAGGCAGGAACCTACAGAGTGCTCATTCCGCGATCCACACCGTTGCCCATGGTGGGGCCGACCAGCCAGCGAATCCGAAAACCACTCACGAGTCTGAACCACGATGATAGGACACGCCTGCCCAAGCGTCAGTACTGCTGCCATCGGGTAGCGGGCGAAGGCTGCGGAGGTACGCTGCAGCCGCAGCCAGCTTGAAGGCGTAGAAGTGTAGCCAAGACTGGACCTGCCACAAATAGACCACAATGAGAGCCGGTGAGCTGCAGGTACCAGAACCGCCCACACACTCCGCGGACCGCTCCACAGCTGGGGGGGGCCGGCGTGTCGTCATCGTACCGAGTGCAACGTTTACGCGGACGGAGGGCAATTTGTTTTCCACACAGAACTGTCGTTGAACACTTCCTTGGAATGCGACGTCCACCGTTGTGGGTTCCTGCTGGCTAGAAAAAGATGGTGAACGAATCCTTTGCCAAACGGGGCATCGAGTTGCTGGCCCGCCAGGCGCTGGTCATTCAGGGGGCGGTTTCTCCAGTGGTGAAGAATCGTTAAGGGGACTCGTGGGAAGAGACTTGGAACGGGAAGGCGTGTTACAGCATCGATGATGCTTTCGGGAATTACTGTGGCCCTACGCCTACTGCGACGCCTCCTCTATCAGAATGAAGACCACGTAATATCCTTGCAGTAACTCAGGGAAAACCGCAGCCGCAGCGCCGGCCCGCTCAGATTCCGCACTACGATACTTAATCCTGATATCACCGCCATTGGCCGCCTAGGAACGCGAAGATGACTTACGAATGTGCCGACCATTTCTACCACCGCCACAGACCAGTCCCGCTCTTCCCACCACCACGACTATATCACCGTGGACGCCATCATCGCTACAACAACCTCACCGCCACCGGCAAAACTCGTACCACCTCTTTCTACGCTGTTCGCTTCGTTGGAACGACTTGCTATGAGCGGCGAAGCTCTCGGAATCAACGCTGAACATGGAAACAATCAAGCTTACCATTCGTCATCAGCGTACGTACTATTTTCCTCTGTGATGCCGCCGTCGCACTCGTCATGATGGCGGGGCATCCTTCCCTCGTACCTCCTTCCATCGCCCTTCCTTCCCTCGTCCCTCCTTCCCAAATATACCTCTTTCTGGCCGCTCATGACCGTTTACATCACTCTTCTGGACCCCGCAAGGTTCGCGCAGCAGCAGTTGGGTCCCTCGGACACGTAGGCCATAACGCTCTACCCCCCCCGACCGAGCCTTCACTGCAAGGGGGGCATGGACACGGAAGGGAAAAGGATGGACGAGGGAGGACTGTGGGCAAAAGCGGAAGGAGAAGTAGGAGGGAATGCCCAAAATGACGGTCAAGACTCGTCAGGATCATCCTCGTCATTGTCGCTGCCGCCGTCGGCCACGCCGGTCCCATCCGAGGCCTCCAGGTGCACGCACGTAGAGCGATGGCACGGATACAAGGGTGCTGCTGCTGAGCTGAAGATTGGCAGCTTGAGCAGAAATAGTGAGCGCAAGACAGGCGACGCAACGCAGGCGCGGGACCCCCAAGGCGCCAACCAGGGAGGCTCGAGGCTCCCAGGGGGCCTCGTCCCTCGTCCAGCCCCCCGGGGTCCTCTTTTCCCCCTTTCCTCTTTTCCCCTGTCCTCCTCCCCCCCTCGCCCCCTAACCGTCCTGGTATTCCTCCTCCTCCTCCTCCTCCTCCCCCTCCTCCTCCCCCTCCTCCTCCTCCTCCTCCTCCCCCTCCTCCTCCTCCTCCTCCTCCTCCTCCTCTCCTCCTCCCTCCTCCTCCTCCTCCTCCCTCCTCCTCCTCCTCCTCCTCCTCCTCCTCCTCCTCCTCCTCCTCCTCCGCCCGCCTCCTCCTCCTCTTCCTTTTTCGCTAAAGCAACCTCAGCGAGAAGCTGTGGCGCTTATGATATCACGGAAAAGGTGCAAGAACGACTCGGGTCAAAGAAACCTAGCGGGCGCCGCGGAAAATGTGAAAACAAGCGCACAGGAACAGATTAGGAATGAGAGTAGGAACCCGCCAAGTGTGACGACACTCACCTTGGTAGGAGCCCGCCTCCTCCTCCTACTCTTCCTCCTCCTCCTCCTCCTCCTCCTCCTCCTCCTCCGCCTCCGCCTCCTCCTCCTCTCCTCTGTGTACCCGTTTTCCCCAAGCCCATATGTGCGCATCCGATGTATAACCAAGTGAGAACAAGTAGGCGCAAGCAGTGCAATTCGTGGGCTCTTACCCTGAGATTTACATATAAGAGACATGGGGTTCGCGTCTGTGTAGAAAAACCTGCTGTTACAGTGCTGCCGAAGAGCAGGCACAACTACTGTGCAATTGGGTTGCTGCCCGTAGCAAGAAAAAATGGCTCGGCACATGCATTGTTGGATTGGTGCCCCGAGTGGAGGAAGGGAGGTCTCTTGTCAAAGAGGAGAAGCAGGGATGAGTGTAGTCATGTAACAAACACCTGCGCCAAGCGTTCTATGGTTTTGCGGTTCACCCCAAACCTCCTTGGGCCCACGACCCCCGTGATGCTTGTCAGTTCTATTCGGGATAAGCACGCAACCGCAGCACACGAAGGGGCGTGTTATAGGCTGGCCAGGTTGGGTCGCCTGTTTGGCAGCCTAGGCTACTGAGCGTGCGCTTGACGGCTGGCCTCTGTCTGACGGGGCACGCCCTGCCCTGTGGGCTAAGAGTCCCGAGACGAGGCCCTGGAGCAGCAGGCAGGACGGCATCTCGAAGAGGAGGTAGAAGGGGAAATACAGGGCAAGCGGTGTTAGCACGTCGGTCTGCCAGGCGAGCTTGGACATGCAGAAAGAAGCGGTACGTGTGCCGTCCCCACCCCACCCCCTCCTCCATCATGTAACCCATCCTCCCAGTGTCCATACGATTACATGATTCGGCTGTATATAGCCATGAAAAAACCGAGTTAGGTGCAAGTAATGCAACTTTGGCGTTGCTACCCTTAACTTAAATGTAAGAGACATGGTGTCACAGTCCCTGAAGAAACAATTGCTGCAAGAATGCTGCTGAGGAGCAGGCAAAGCTACTGTGCAATTCTTGGGTTGCTACACTCAAGCAAGACAGTGGTTATGGTATGCATTGTTGGGCTGCGGCCCTATGTGGGGGGAAGGTAGGTCACATAACATCTCGAAGGAACGATCGTCAGAGAGGAGGCCGAGTAAGCAAATAGCAGCGACGGGTAAGAAATAAGGGGGTAGGGGCCGCGGGCAACCGAGAGCGAGGAGCACCGAAATCCTGTGCAACCAGAGAATGTGCAGGATGTCAGTAGTCCGCAGCAGTCGGCAGGGTGCGGCCCTCAGGGTGGGGGGGGAGGTGGTTTAAGTTAAATAGCTCGGTCGGTCATCCGACCTGTTCAAAAAGGGGCACGGTGGGAGAAGGGAGTGCGAGACGAGACGACAGCAGGAGTTGGGCTAGCCTGTGTCGGCTGCCTGTTAAAACTGCACGGTGTGCTGCGTTGGCTTGGCTTGCTGTCGTGAAAGTACAGTGGACGCTGCATCTTAAAAAGAAGTCACGTCCTGGGTGGTGACCCCAAGGGAAAACTGGACAAGGTGAATCCGCAGCGCAGGCAATCCGAATGAAATGGGGTCACACCATGGATGGGGACCCTAAAGGTAGACTAGCAGGCCGCTCTGCGGTTGATCGGGAGTTTCTATGTATAGAAGAAGGGGCGTGCGCTTCTCGGCGAGAGGAACATGATCGAGATGTGAACAAGCGTGAGGATCAAGAGGGCGAGGCTCGCGAGGGGGAGGATCAGGAGAGTGAGGGTAACGCGAGTGAGGATCAGGCGAGCGTGGAGCAGAAGGCCAGGAGAGCGAGAATGGCATAAATGAAAATCAGGAAGGTGACGATCGGGCGGGCGTGGCGCCCCCCGCTGCCATGCTGGCGATCTCCACCTCCTCCTCCTTACCCTCCTCCTCCTCCTCCTCCTCCTCCTGAACCTCCTCCTCCTCCTCCTCCTCTTCCTCCTCCTCCTCCTCCTCCACCTCCTCCTCCTCCTCCTCTTCCTCCTCCTCTGTCTCCTCCAAGTCCCTTCGCCCTCCTCCACCTCGTCCTCCTCCTCCTCCCTCCCCTCCTTGTCCTCCTCGTCACCCCTCCTCCTCCCCTCCGTGGATTTCCCGGATCTCGCCTGAAACGGAACAAGGGGGCCCAATCTCTGAAGGCCTCCTTGGTGGAGCTCTGGGGTCAGATTTTTCTGAGGATGTCCCATGTGAAAGCGCCGGCTTGGAATTCGTCGCCAGACTCGCCGGATTTCCCGAATCTCGATGGAACATGAACGTGGGGGCCTCTGGGCCTCCTTGGGGACGCTCTAGGCGCCGGTTTTTCTGAGAATGCACGCGAGAGCGCCGGGTTGGAATTCGTCGACAAATTCGCCGGATTCGCCGGATTTCCAAGATCTCGCCGAAAACGGAACAGGGGAGCCTCTGAGGGCCTCCTTGGGCACGCTACGAAGGCCAGTTTTTCTGTGGATGTCCCACGCGAGGGCGCCGGTCTGGAATCCGTCGCCGGATTCGCTGGATTCGCCAGATTGCCGGGATCTCGCCGGAAACGGAACAGTGGGGCCTCTGAGGGCCTCCTTGGGGACGCTCCGGGGCCCGGTTTCTTTGAAGATGTCCTACGCTAGGGCGCCGGTTTGGAATTCGTAGCCAAATTCGCCAAATTCCCCAGATATCGCCAGAAACGGAACAGGCCCAGGGGGCCTCGACAGCCTCCTTGGGGAGGCTCCGGGGGCCGTTTTTTTAGGATGTCCCGAGCGAAGTCGTCGATTTGGAATTCGTCGCCGAATTCGCCGGATGTGCCGGATCTCCCGGATCTCACCAGAAGCGGAACAGGGGGGGGCGTTCGGCGGGGCCATTGCCTGTCGCGCCGGGGGTCAGGATGACGTGACTTCCACAGAAACTCCCTCAAACTAGGTAACGTTGGCCAGCCAAGCTGGTACATCCGCACTAGCTGTGCTGCTGGTTTATTGAAAAGGGAGGACATCCTGTATGACAGGGGCCTCCAAATCTGGACTGGCAATTCTTGGGCTGCTACACAAGGCTGTCGCTGTTAACCCCGCACCGACTTGATTGCTGAGGGCTCCCAAACAGCCACCAGGCTCGTCAAAAGGGCAGGAGAAGGGATGTCAGCATCAGCGAAGTCATCGTCTGAGAAGGAGAGCGGGAGTGTCGACCACGATGCGCGCGTTGAACTGCCTGGTCCAGTTTACATGCCAGAAGGTCAGTAGACGATGTTATGCGGTAGTTGGCGTACTGCTGGTGATCGTGGTGGATGTCGTGGTGCGCTGCTGTGGTCAGTCTGTACCTAATTTGCTCCGCGGCCACTGTCTTCGTAGCCCATCGGCTTGGGCTTGGGTGGTGCCCTGTAGAGCCGCACCATCGGCTTGGGTGGTGGCTCCTTGTAAGGTACCTCTGGAAAGTAGCTGTTGTGGAGGCTGGCGAGGAGGCGTTCGCACCGTGTCCGATTTGAGCGGAGCTTGTCGATATAGCTGTAAAAGGTTGGGTCTCCTGTGCTGTGTATGAGGATGATGCGGCGGTTATAGATGAGGATGTGCTGGCCGCCTCGTCTCGCTGCCGTGTTGTGTGCTGCTATCACCTGGCCTGCGTGGGTTGGGAAGTGCGCTTGTAACGGGGCGTACGTATGGGGTGCCATGGTGTTTTTCGGTACCTCCTGTATCCAGCGATGTGTCATGATTTCTTCGGGTGGTGGGCAGATGAGTGGTATCTGGAGTACAGGAACTGGTGGGTGCGCTGGTACGGCGCATCTCATGGTAGGCTTCGGTGAATCGACGGTCAATGCTATGGAAATGGCACTTTCAACGCCAGTTCTTCGATCCGCTCCAGCCGCGGCGGCGATAGCTAACCGCTCGCGCGTCAAAGCGCGGCCGTCAGCGGCACCGTCAACCTCGAGATTCGCCACTAGCGAGTCCGAGGTGCTGTTTTGCATATCCTGTGTTTGCACAGGCGCAATGCGTTGGCGGGCACAGCTTCGCTAGCACGCGGCGACTTGCCGCTTCGGCTGATAACCTCTGCTTGGGGATATTTCAGCCACTGGGTCAAACTCTCCTCATCAAAACCTTATCGGTCGTGGGCCCTGGTTCGCTTATGAAGGCGGCCAGGTTCCCATCAGCTTTTCGGGCTTGCGTCCAGCCGCGACTCACGAGGACGCCCCAGGAAGAACATAACAAACTGAAGCAGTTTGCAATCGCTTCGCTCGGCGGAAGCGACAGCGGCGGCGGCAACGACTGCGATGGCACCAGCGATGGGCCCGCGACCACCCGAATTCCCGACGGGAATACTGACATTTTTTGAGCTCAAAAACAAGCGCGCGCCAAAATCAAATGGTAACACGCAGTTGGTGGCAGCCGCGTGCAAGAAGAAGGGGCGCTGCGCTAGGCGAGCGGATATGTAACATGCACGCACACACACACACACACGTCTTTCCTCCTCCAACGGTCGTCGCGAAGCGCCTAACCGGGTCACGCTCATTCGAATTCCAACCTGGCGTGAGCAAGTAGGTGGACTGGGCGCAAGCAATCGCGTGCAAACAAACGCCGAGGCGCACATGCACGTGGAAGAAGCCGGCGCGGCCATGCAATGCCAGGAAAGGCCATGTCGACGGCTAGCTGGAAGCAGAGGCGAAGGTCGCGCGGCGAGAATAGAGAGAGTCAGCACTTCGGCGCGATGCGCAGCAAACACCACACACACAACCAATAGCATAGCATAAGCAGCAATATCAACAACAGCAGCAGCAGCAGCAACAACAACAACTACAACAACACCACCACCAACAACAACACCACCAACCACCACCACCACCACCACCACCACCACCAACAACAACAACAACAACAACAACAACAACAGCAGCAGCAGCAGCAGTAGCAGCAACAGCAACAGCAACAGCAACAGCAACAACAACAACAACAACAACAACACCAACAACACCAACAACAACAACAACAACAACAACAACAACAACTACTACTACGGCTACTACTCCTACTACTACTACTACTACTACTACTACTACTACTACTACTACTACTACTACTACTACTACTACCACAACAACACCAACACCACCAACAACAACAACAATTAAACAACGAACAATAGCTATCTGGCCGCATGCCATTCAACACGTATATCCGAAACTCTCGGTACACGTTTTTTCCGCTTTCGATGGTACCCCTTTGGGGGCATATCTTCCTTACCTGGTACGTGCTTTTTGCGCCGCCGATACAACAGGGGAAGAGAGGACGAAAGGGGGAGGGAGAAGGATGAAGCACGAGAAATTAGCAGAAGGGGGGCTAGGAGCAGAAAACACGTGGCAGAACCAGATGGGCAGATCGAGCGGGCAGACCCTAGAGGGCGGGTCGGGAAGGCGGGCCGGGCCCAGGCGGCCAGGTCGAGCAAGCGGGTTGTTCAAGCGTGAGTCCTGCATGAAATGCGAGGAGGTCTAGAGCGATTGCGCGAATTCGAGGTTCCCAAGGAAATAATGGAAACAAAAGAAAAAACCAAAGCGAGCGCGTGAATTCCTGAGTGTCGAGGGCGCGGCGTCTGCATAAATTGCAAAGGAAATCCCACGCGAGAGCGCGACTCCTGCATAAATTATGAAGAAGTCCCGCGCGAGCGCGATTTTGGAATACCTCGTGAGGAAGTATCAGGCGGGAGCCGCTGTTGTTATATAACTCGGGGGCCAGGAGCTTGAGAACGAAGACTTTCCTTGATAAAAAACCGGGTGAGAGCCCTGGGAGGAGCACTTTCATTAAAAAAAACGCACTCTGCACTGGTGGGGGAGATCAACAACAATGGTTCTTCAAGAATGAAAAATTCAACAACAACGACAGCAGCAACAACAACATAACGACACAAACCATGGCCTTCGAACATCGGAAAGAGAAATGCCGATCCGAGAGCAGAAAATGCGTGCAGGAGCCTCGGTCCTCGACCCGCCGGGCGCGTCTCGCGGTGGGCGTGCTGAGGGGCGCGCGGGCCCGCCTCCTCGGTGTCGCGCCTCTCGGGGAGGGAAGGGGCGGACGTACGGTGCACGCGCGGGCGGTGGGAGCCACTTCTTGCGTGTCTCCCGTGGGTCAATTCGTGAGCTCCTCCTCCCCTCCGCGTGCCCATTCCTCCAGTAACTACTGCTCCTTATCCTCCTCCCCCTCCACCACTACCTCCTCCTACTCCTGCTGCTGCTGCTTCTGCTGCTCCTGCCATTCCTGCTCCTCCTCCTCCTCCTCCTCCTCTTCCTCCACCCAAGCGTCAACAAAAGCCGAGGCACAAATAACACTGCGCGCAAGCACTCTGATCAGCACGAGGACGAAGACAGTGGATGGAGCACGTCGCCGTGAACCAACTACTCAGGGAGGAGGTGCCACGGCGCTCAGCGCACCGCCCAGGCCCTCCGACGTGGGGCCGTCTTGGGACCCTGTTGGGCCGCTTTCGGACCCTCTCGTTGGAGCGACCCTGCGGGCCCCTGGGGCCGTTGATCGAAAAGGCCAGAAGACAGCAACAAAAATGTTGAAAAACGGTGGCCCTCTCGACCCCGCCACGGTGGCGGCGCCACCACTGGAGGCTCTGCCACCCGCACGCAGCCGGCGGCCGAGTCGCTCCAAGGCGCAGCGCCAGGCCCAGTGCTGCAGGGCAGGAGCTCCGGCGACCGAACACACGCTGCGCTGCATCGCCGAGCTCACTGGCCTGTGGACTCGCGGCCAGGATAAATATTGGTATCCACGACATCGCGGGCAGCGCCCCCGGGCAGCGACCCCACGGGGATCACCCGCGCGGAGCGTATCCATGCGACCGCGCATCCACTGGATCGCGACGGCGTGGATGTGGATATGTGCACCGTTTGTGATGGACGGCAGTCCTCCACGCTTGCAGCAGCTGCTGGGAAAACACTTCAGGATCGCCGAGGCAGAAAACGATGCACCCCGGGAAACTCAGGATGTCGCCGATGAGCTGTACAAGGTCTTTAAGGGCTGGGCCAGGGACTCCATGGACCAGGAGAACGCTTCCGAGTGCTGAGATCTCGGCCCCTCGGCCGTCGTACCCCCTTCGGCCTCAGGCCCAGCTTTTATACAGCTTCCTCAAACTTCTGTCGGTCTGGTCTCTTCGAAGCACCTGGGTTCTTCCAGGGGTGGAACACGCCCATCTCCCCAGCACTCTGTGCCACAGCGCGTCCCATGTCCCACGTATGCATCCTCACCTTTCGCGCAGAGCGGTGCATCGGCCGAGGCAGCTTTTGCCCACAACCCCGGCCTAGGCCCTTTTCAGCAGGTGTTCATGCCATGGTTGTGGAAGTAGCCGCTTTCGAAACAGTCCAGAATTGGAACGTATCGGCGGTACCCCCTCCGACCTAATCACCCTGGACATGCCCCAGACTTTGCCGCAGGAGGCTCGGCCATCAGCGTCTACTCTGCAAGCGCCTTCGGCTCAGGCAGTTACCCCAAGGAGACAGGCGGCATTCACGCACATCTCGTGCAAAACGGTGGCCCCGCCGAGCACGAACTCCTTCCTCCACCAATCACCGGGCTCCCTTGGCAGCTCCTGCAGCAGGTGGCCCAAGACATCTTACTCCTAGACCCGCAGTCCGGGTTACGCAGCACCCTTCGAGCGATCCGCCCACAAGTGTCGCCACGAACATTACGTCCATATCCCTCCCTCCCTCCCTCCCTCCCTTCCCTCCCTCTCCCCCCAACCCCTCCTCATCACGTCCTCCTCCTCTGCTGAGTATATGCCCTCTTCGCTGGCCAAACGCCCATTGCATGGTCCGATCCCGTGGCACTGCACACCGCTGTTCCCAGTGCTCAGTGCCTGCCCTCCACACGAGCGCACGTACAGAAACGGGTAAGGCACCGGCCGCCCCCACAGGTATCTTGCTAGGATTAGACGTGGAGGTGCCTCCTCATCATCCCCGTCCTCCACACATTCCTTTTCCTCCTCCTCCTCCTCCTCCTCCTCCTCCTCCTCCTCCTCCTCCTTTTTCTTCCAACCCTCACCATCCTCATCATAATCCTACGATTCTCCTGGAAACATGCATAAACGTTGCAAGAGAAGGAGAGAGGGAGAGGGATGGAGGGAAAGAAGAGAGAGAGAGAGAGAGAGAGTGAGGGATGCACGAAAAGAGAAATTAAGAGATATGGATGTGTACTCCGAAGAAGACCGATTGAGACGACTGCAACGCTCCCTCTCGCCCGGCCTCTACCCGATCAAAACCGATCCCCGGCCCCCATCCACGTGTCCGTTCTGACCCAACTTTCGAAGAATCTCCAGCGAAGGGGCCGAGAAACTTGCAGAAAAAAACAAAAGAAACGGGACACGCAAGGGAAGCCCGCCGATGCTTCGACTGGCCCTGCTCCGATGTGGCAAAAAGGTTTTTGAACTCAAAGTAGCCCAAATATTGGCTCAAGAAACCAAGACCGCTCAAGAAGCCCAGCCCGGTTGTAACCCAAATTCTATGTATCTCTTTTCCGCTCATTTACGCTCCCCCCTACAAGTCCACACCACACTGATGTTTTCTGCCTCCGAAAAGCGCGCGCCAGGTACACCTGCCCAGAATTTGTTCAAGCAACACAGGATCCACAGTCCGTTACAGGATATGGACGGCCTCGACGATGCTGGGTTCGCCACTACATTACAGCAACGATTTCAAGATCAATTGGCTGGCACTGAAAGCTGCAGCAGGGGAAGGGAAAACAATAAATACATGTATTTTTTATTGATTGTTTTATGTATATAAACTCTTCGGGAAGTACTACTGCTACCATCGACGACATCCAGAACCTCATCAAAGACGAGTTCGCCCCGATCAAGCAATATACATCGGCAGTCGAACTACACGGGACCTCCCGCCGATATCTTCACGATGCCACCCGACCACTCAGAGAAAATCGACGAGATCGGAAACGAGCTCGAAGAAACATAAATACGTGCGGCCACCGTGGACAACGAGATGAACAAGCGCATCGAGAAGATTGGAAACCACTTAACGCTACCGTCAACCGAAATCCCAAGATAATGTTCAGCAGTTCCGCAAGGCACGGCAACCGCTTACCACTATCATGGCAAACGTGTTACCACACCGGTCACTGGCAACCTTGTCGGCTTCGACCCCATCGCCACGGCATGCACAGATATCAGAAAGCAAGTATCTTCAATGCAAGCCCCAAGCCCGAAAAGTATGGATGCAAAATGGAAATTCGAATATATTGCATTTGCCGGGTTCGTCAGCATGCTCGACCGAGATACAGCGGTCGTTCTTCTACGCAGCGGTGGCCTTCAACATGGGAATAAATTTGTTTGGGCAACCCAAGACAGAGAACCAGACGACCGCGCGGCCCGTAAATATTGCTCCGGGGTGAAACACTTATTCAAAAACGGCTTGCTGAGTCCATGCAACATCAGGGTGTCCGAAGAAGCGCCATACACACTAGAAGTTGGAAAGGAATTGGCTTTGACGGCGAATGTACACATCAGGGCATTCGAGGTGTGGGAAGATAGCTGGCAGGCTTTGCAAAATCACCCGAAACTTGCAGAATTGACAACAACACGCAATGAAATCATTCATCGAGCAGTTCAAGGGAAAAAGGGCGGAGCAAAAGGAGCGTCCAAAGGCGCGGCGCCAAGATAGGACGCACAGCAAACATTGGCCACATGTTCCACGTCACGGAATTGCCTGCCCGGTGCCAGACCTGATGTTTGAAAACATATTACTATATTTCGCGATGTCCGCGCCGAGCATCAAACAAATTTGACATCGATGCACGTTCGAACGTTGACCCCATTTCTACATCATCGACTCCACTCTCGAACTCCGCCCCGGCTTCGCTGGGAGAGGGCACAAGCGCGGGCCCCCCGACAATTTCACCCACGCCACCCTCGCGTCCAACATTTTCTTCGCGACATCCCCGCGGGCGATGCCCCGCCAGCACGCGCGCGCATGAGCGTCAACGACGACACCAGCGCCGAAGGCGACAATGTATCATTGGAGCGTATTTACGACGCGCACAGTTTTGGCCCATTGTGAAAGCGTTCAAAATTTAACAACGTCGACGACGATGCAATTCCCGAGCTCGGCCCTGTATCTACTTTTCGCAGATCGGCCAAAATGGGCAAAGATACCATCGCGGACAGATAATTCATAGACAAACAGCGCACGATTACATGTTCGAGTAACGCTGCGCCCTCCCTGGCGCCCTCGATTCCATCGCCCCGCCTTGCAGACGTGCCGGGGTTGGTGAATCTACCAGCGTTGACCTCCGCGAGCTCCTGCCCCCCATTCCCCTCGAATACCTCCCAGATAGAACGCGCAGAGACGGTCGCGCACCCCGCGCCACATCAACCGCATCGGCACTTGGAATTTGGAAGACCTCCGATCAATTATTTAACTCGACGACCGTATCACGAAGCGCAAACTTGCTTCTGGCACAGGAAAATCATGTGGAGCAGGCCCGCAGACGCTCGCCTCATCCCCTCTCCTCCGCCCACGCGCCTCGGCGCCCGCTTCGCGGGCGCGCGGCCCTCGGCGCGCCGGCCCGCTTATTCCAGAGCGGCGGAGGTATGTCTCGGCGCGGCCCCTGCGCCCTCAGGCCACGCGTCGCGCCGCTCGGCCCAGCTCGTCCGTGAATCCGTGGGATCCCGGCGCCAATGGCGCAGCGGCGCATAATCGCGCCGCGCTCCTCGACCGCGGTCGTCTTCTGCTGGGCCTGGCCTGCTGGCCGCAGGGCCCCCTACTGGCAACGCGTGTTCGGCCGGGCCCCCTGTGAGAAGCCACGCGCAAGGTCGCTGCCTTCTCGCGGGCAAACCCAGGGTCACTGCCTTCTCGGGGGCACACCCAAAGCCCATGTCTTTTCGCGGGCAAGCTCAAACCTCCGCGTTTCTCACTCTTGGGTCGCTGCCTTCTCGCGGGCTCTGCAAGGCTCCGTGTGACATGCCGCGCACAGGGCCACTGCCTTCTCGCGGGTAAACCCAGGGCCCCTGCCTTCTCGCGGGCACACCCAGAAGCCCTGCCTTCTCACGGGCAAACTCAGGCCTTCAGGTTTCTCACTTTCGGGTCGCTGCCTTCTCGCGGACAACGCCAAGCCCCCTGCGAGGGCACGTGCAGGGTCATTGCCTTCTCGCGGGCAAACCCACGGCCCCTGCCTTCTCGCGGGCAAACCCAAGCCTGTCGGGCCCGCTTTCGGGCCCCTGCCCTCTCGCGGGCACCAGGGTCCCTGCATTGTCGCGGCGAAACCAAGCCTCTGGGGCTTCTCTCTCCCAGGTCGCCGCCTTCTCGCGGGCAGACTCAAGCCTTTCCGGTTTCCGCCGCTGCCTTCCCGCGACGCACCCAGGGTGCCCACTTCTCGTTGGGTCCCCAATGTGGTGCGGCGGTTTCCGTGTCCCCTTTTTTTTGCCCACCCACGCCACCCTCGCGGCTTTCGCCGGCGCCTTGACTTGGCGGGGACTCTCGGGACGAGGTCCAGGAGGCTCCAGCCAGGCAGCGCTTTCCCCACGCCCCTTGCTGGCGCAAGGGCGCCGGCTTTGAGCCACGCCTGAAGCTCCGCGAAGGCCATTTGCGGAAGGGCCCTGGGCCTTCGGACGCCATTCAGAAGAGCGGACCAGGCTACCAAAGATGATTTTCCCGTGCATGATCTATCACGACATGAACGTCTTGTGCACTCACGACGTGCACGGGGCTGAGTACTGCATGACAAATGATTTCATGATCTTCTGATCTGGCAAATTTGATGTTGAAACTCGCACCTACGCAAGTTTGGAATCCTGGCCTGCTCAGACAGGCTGGCCACGTTCCGAATAAAAGGTTCGGAAGAGGGATGCTGACATTGATCACAGCATATGCCCCTCAGAGCGGCCTGGACTACGAGACGCGCCAAGCCTTCCATTACGAGTTACAAAACCTCTTCTGGGCTACGAGTACGCACAATACGACCATGGCCTGTGGGGATTTCAACGCGTAACTTCTGCGGCAAGGACCGAGAGAAAGGACACGATCGGGGCCCATGTGTTCAAAAACCTCTATGGGATTCCCCATCACAATGATCATCACAATGAGAGTGCCAGTGCACAATTATCTAACCGGCAATTGTTTTTGGAAACTAGCGTGGCTTACGACCTCGCCATTGCGAACACTTTCTTTGTCCGCCCCGACTCGATGAAAGTCACGTACCAGAATTTGGGACTCAATCAAATTGATAACGACGTCAACTTTCTCTCAAATGCCAGTAGATCATGTGTTACGCCATCAAACAATGGTCGACACCATCACGCACTGTTGGAGCAGCCGCAATGACGCCTGACATTGTCGGCGTTCCCGTCTGGTTGCGGGCATGCACATAGAGTTCGAAACGCAACAAAAGCAACGAAAGCAGAAAGTGGACATACAGACTTTAAGCGACTTGGACACACGAAGCAGATTGACGAACGCATTTGTAAGCGCAATGCTACCTCCCTCTTCCCTCCTTCCTCATCCCTCCTCCCTCCTCCCTCCTCCCTCCCACAGAAAGCCGCAAACAACTTGGACAACGCAGCAGCCGATCTACAACATGCATTTGCTGAAGCTGCAGCTGTCTTGCCGGTTTCGAGATCTGCAGCGGAACACCCATGGACGAGCCAAGGTACACTCAACTTGATTGCCGAATGTAATGCTTACCGGCGAGCTGGAGATCACGATAATGAGAAACAACTTCACATATTGATCAGAAAATCTGGAAAGAAAGACAACGGAGCATGGTTACACTATCTTACCTATACGACCACCCGTCGGGTGATAAGGAGGTTCGGGGGGGGAGGAACCAACGTCTCACTCGATCGGTCTCACTATCGATATCACTATCGATCTCACTATCGGTCTCGATCGAACGATCTCACTCGATCGATCTCACAATTGATCTCACTCGATATATTCCATTCGATCGATCTCACAATCGATCTGACAATCGATCTCACAATCGATCTCACTATCGATTTCACGATCGATCTCACAATCGATCTTATAGTCGCTCTCACTATCGATCTCACTCTATCACAATCGATCTCACAATCAACGTCATCATTATCATCATCATCATCATCAACATCATCGTCATCAACGTCATCAATATCATCATCATCATCATCATCATCATCATCATCATCATCATCATCATCATCATCAGCATCATCATAGGGACACCATCACCATCATCATCACCACCTCATCACCATCATCATCAACATCATCATCACCATCATCATCATCGGGACACCATCATCGTCACCATCGTCATCATCATCATCATCAGCATCATCATCAGCATCGGGCCACCATCATCATCATCATCAGCATCAAAACACCACCACCATCATGATCATCTCATCATCATCATGAACAGCATCATCAACATCATCATCATCAGCAACATCATCATCATCAATATCATCATCGTTATCATTATCGGGACGCCATCATCATCGTCACCATCATCATTATCATCATCACCACCACCATCATGATCATCATCATCATCATCATCATCATCATCATCATCATCATCATCGGGACACAACCATTATCATCAACATCATCATCACCATCATCATCACCATCATCATCATCATCATCGGGCCACCATCATCAGCATCAGCATCATGACCTCATCATCGTCCTCATCATCAACATCTTCATCTTCATCTTCATCATCATCATCATCATCATCATCATCATCATCATCATCATCATCATCATCATCGGGACATCATCATCGTCATCATCATCAGCAACATCATCATCGGGACACCATCATCAACATCACCATCATCATCATAATCAACAGCATCATCATCAATCTCTTCATCACCATCATCATCGGGACACCAGAATCATCATCATCATCATCATCATCATCATCATCATCAGCATCGTCATCGTCATCATCATCATCATCATCATCATCATCATCTTTATCATCATCATCAGCATCATCATCTCATCATCTCATCATCGTCACCATCATCAGGATCCTCCACATCATCATCATCATCATCATCATCGGGACACCATCATCATCATCATCATCAGCAACATCAGCATCATCAACATCATCATCATCGGGACACCATCATCATCAACTTCGTCAACATCAGCATCATCATCATCATAACCATCATCATCGGGACACCGTCATCATCACCACCATCGCCATCATCATCATCATCATCAACATCATCGACATCATGATCATCATCATCATCATCATCATCATCATCATCATCATCATCATCATCATCATCATCATTATCATCATCACCATCATCGGGACACCGACGGGACACCGGTGGGACACCGGCGGGTCACCGCGGGCCACCGACCCACAGAAAGTAATCATTTGATCCGGCCGCGCTTCAGCCAGAGGCGGGACACCGGCGGGACACCGCGGGCCACCGGCCTCCGGAAAAGAATCATTTGGTCCGGGCGCGCCTCAGCCGGAGGAGACTTTCTTCTCGCCCGCCCACGCAGCTTCGCCTCGCCCGCACGCACGTCACGCACGAACACGAAACCGAAACCGATTTCCCGGTAGGGGGGCTATCCGTTCCACTTCGATCTCACCCCCTCACCTCCGACTCAGAACGGGAGTTGGGATGCTGTTCGTCACTTGCGGAAACCGAAAAAAAACACAGCATGCTACTATACAGCACCCTGATGGCACTCCAGCTGGCACGGAAGAACGAGCAGACGTGATAACGGACTATTTCGAGAACGAGCACTGGGAGTGCAAATTTCGGGACACATGCCCAGATCAGAATACACCTTTGGGTGACACACTTCCTGTGGACGCGTCTCCTTTGAAGCCAGTGCTGCAAAACTTAAGAAAGGGAATGCAGCAGGCCCCGACGATATCCCGCAGATTTCTGGAAAATCTTGGGGTCAGATATTACTGTGTGCGACATCTTGTTGGACATGGTTCAGACGTGCTGCAAACACAAATCGATGTCAGAAGTATGGAGACGCTGGCATATGGGTTTACTTATCAAAAAGGGAAGTGCGGCCTTACGGGCAAACTGCAGGCCGATATCATTATTACCCGTGGGATATAAAATATTAGCAAGACTTCTACACCAACGCCTGGTTCAGGGCGGAGCAGAGCATCGCTTACGACAGTCGCAGTATAGGTTCAGGCCAGGGAAAGGAACCAAAGAAGCGCTAATGCTAGTAAGGCATATGGTCGACGCGGCGCATTTGGACAATGACGGGGGGCTGTCTCTCTACTCATGCTTGATTGGACCAAAGCATTTGACAGGATTAAGCCGGACTGTATGTGTAGCGCGCTTCTCCGCTTCGGGGTTCCCGCGTTCGGCTTATAAGGTCAATATACGCGGCAAGATATGTTACTATTCTTGACCACGCTGGCACGTCACTTGAATGAAAACAACATGCAGGTATTGCGCAAGGATGCCCTCTGTCGCCCTACTCATTCATCATCGTTCAAAGCGTGATGCTAGATGGCTGTTGATATCCAAGCAAAACCGGCATTTATAGTGTCGCGTGATATCCTTTACGCTGATGGCACTCTGCCTATTTCACGACACGTTTCAAACTTGAGCGGCCTTTTGGCGGAAATTGTTGCTGAAGGGAAAGAGTACGGACTGGAATTGAACTGCGGGAAACACCGCAAATGAATGTTTGAACAGACGGCTGAATTTCCAGGCCGACCAGCGAACCTATCAAAACAGTCCGCGAAACCATCTACCTCTGGATCACTTGCGACGGGAAAAGCGGCGACAGAGGTGACCAGGCGATTGGGGGAAACGACTAAACCTTTCGAGCAATTGGACCAGATATGGGTCCACGCGTCAATTGGAAAAAAAAGGAAATACATTATAGATTCCAAGGGTGCTCAGCAAGCTCACGTACTACTCTTTGTATTCTGTATGGTTGCTAAAAACAGACAGGTCCAGATTGGACAGCCTCCATTGCACATGCTTGCGACGCCTACTTGGTATTCCCCACTCTTGTATTTCTTGTGTTCGCAACAGGAAAGTATTGCAATGAGCGTCATCGACACCATTAAGTGAGATTATGAATGAACGCCACATCGCTCTGTACAAAAGAATCGCCAGGTCCCCGGGCCCTTCCCTGATTAAAAACATATTGCGCGATGCGGATGTCATTCCAAAAAATGAGCACGCTGCCGGAGACGAGGGAGCCCGCGACATCTGTGGGCGATTTCAGTGTACGATTTGTCTCGTGTATAACTCGAATGTGTCCCCCCCTCATCCTCCTCCTCCTCCCTCCCGCTCCCCTCTTGTTTCCTGCGTCGCCGTCGCGATGCGTTCCAAATTTTCGGTTTCACAATCGGGCCTCTGTATGCGCGCTATCCATATACAAGGTGTTCCTTCAATGCCATGAACAGCTGCCAATCGTGCGCTCTTCTGCCCACGCGCCCTCTGGATGCTCGGCTCAGCTATGAAATACCTATACATATATATATATATATATATATATGTATAAACGATTCCATAGAGAGAGGGGAAAAAGATAGAGAAGGAGAGAGATAAGACAAAAAAACGTTGAGAGAGAGAGAGAGGGAACGAGAAAGAGAGAGAGAGAGAGAGGCTGGAGGCAAAAAGGGCCTGAGTCTGTCGCCTTCGGTGCGGGACTCCTGACGGCGGCGGACACCGCAGCTGCAGGGCGGACGAGAGAAGAAAAGGAGGAAGAGGACGAGAAGAGAGAAGAGGAAGAGGAACGGGAACGAGAGGAGGAGGAGGAGGACCAGGAGGAGGGGGAGGAGGAAAAGGGGGAGGAGGAGGAGGAGGAGGAGGAGGAGGAGGAGGAGCAAAAGGAGGAGGAGGAGGAGGAGCAGGAGGAGATCGGATCGGATCGGAAACGCTGGCGACGATCTCAAACTCACAATCAGACGGCCTGCATCCGCAAGACTACTACCTAAAGGCAGACATCCCTGCGACGGCCGATTGGCCGAGCAACATCCTGATTTCAAACCCCGAGGCCTTTGCAGAAAAACACCCCCGACGGGCCCCGAGGCAAGCCTCATGATTGGGGGAGCGGTCCCCCAGGGCGCCTGCGGGCACATGCACGAATTGCGATTACGATCGGCGGCGGGATGGTTGCCCCCCCGCGTTTCGGGGGATGGCGGCGCCGCCGTGGCTCGTGAGCGGGCGCGGCGCACCCCAAGGCGCTGTCTTCGTCCGCCGCCGCGAGCCGACGTTCCTCCCCCCCGCCCACCAACGCCCCCGCCCCCACCCCCCACGAATATATCCCTCCCCGCCGCCCTCACATCGCGGATCAGACCGCGAGCGACGAGGGAGGCGAGGCGTGCACTAGAAGCAAGGTTCGAGGAAGGCTGAAAAGGGATCAGGGGCGCGAGGGGGGTTCGGAGAGGAAGAGGAAGGCTGAGTTGAGAAAGGCTGGGGCTCATCCCGTTCAGGTGGAGGGGGCGCCCTGCCATCAACTCCTGGACGTGATAGCAGCGACCCCGCACCAGTTCAGGTTCCAGACTATGCGCCGCCGCGCACATCTGGAACCACAGTTCTTCGATAAGCACCCATATCATATGAAGACCCCATTGAATCAGAAACTGTCTGGGCATGTGTTGGCGCAGTCGCCTGGCTAGGCAGCACAATAGAGACGCCCAAATGCATACAATCAGAATGTGCAAAGATATGCGTTGGCTTGGACGCCTGACCAATCAGCACAAATGAGACACCCAAGTCTACTGGATCATATACGATAGCGATGTGTGTGTTGGCCGAATCTGACCAGGCACCACAACGTAAATCCCCGAACCCTTCAAAACAGAAGCTGCGCGGATACGCGTTGGCCCTGAAGATGGGACGCTCGAGCCCTGGCCAGGAAAGAATAGGGTCGGCAATACACCTGCATTAAAAATACCATTCGAAACCCGGGAGCGAAGGAACCTAGAGCCCATGACCTCACTATGCCAATCCACTATCACGATGTCGTTCACCGCCTCTGGAGCCACTGCTGGAAAAGCCACTCGACCTGGCTGCGAGGCTCCGAACCCACGGGACGCTGCGCGTTGAGCTCAGTGAGCGTGCAGCACATCAGCTCCTGAAGGCCGGCTCCAGCCGCCGAGCCTGTCACGATGTGCAGCTTGAACTTCGCCACCCCCTCCGTGCACTCGCTCTACTCCCCACGCGGCACCTGGCACGAGATGTGGCGGACCATCAGTGCGATCTCTACTGGCTGTTCGTTTATATATATATATAATATAATACATACGTCTGTATATATAGTATTAGTGTTGCTGCTATTATTGTTAATATTTTAGTATTACTAGTATTAGTAGTATTAGTAGTATTAGTATTAGTATTATTATTATTTATGATTAATATTATAATTATGATTATAAGGAGTAGTAGTAGTAGTAGTAGTAGTAATAGTAGTAGTAGTAGTAGTAGTAGTAATAGTAGTAGTAGTATTAGTAGTATTAGTAGTATTTGTTATCCGTATTCGTAATACTATTATTATGATTAGTATTACTATCATTATTAGTAGTAATAGTTTAGTGTTAGTAGTAATATAATCAGTAATATTAACAGTACTGATACTATTATTATGATTAGTAGTGTTAGTGTTATTAGTATTATTACTGGCATTATTAGTATTATTACTATTCTCAATGTAATAATATTATTATTACGATTAGTATTATCATCATCATCATTATTACTATTATACGTATTATTATTATATGTGTATATAATGGTGTCCCCGATGAGGTTGGCAGTTTTTTGGTACTGTCCGTTTTGCGACTGTTGTTTGATACCCGCCATCACGATCCAAACCCCTGTGAGCCACGGGGGGCCGGGGGGCCTGGACTGTCGAAGTCCGTCGACGGGTCGGTGGCGGCCTTCTCTTTCAGCTGCTTGACGCACTCTGTTCAGTACGTGTTGCCTTCGAAGACCGCCTGGGCCAGCCACGTCTGCTCGGAGATCAGGACGTGTCGTTGATGTGCGACTCCATGTCGGCTATGGCCCTGGCGTTGGCTACCGTCTGGTGAACCACCCACGTCATCGTCGAGCCGTCTGCCGGGTCGTCGCCGCGACGGTTGCCACCTCCTTTTCCACCTCGGCCCCCTCCACTCCCCCAGGTGTTGGTGCGGGTTGCCTGGGGCGGCGGTCCTCCTTCGGCCTCAGTGCTCTGATGCTTGCGCAGAGGGGAGAACCAAGGGGGGACGTTTTCGAGCTTCATGGTTTCGGCCATAGCGGACCCCGGGTAGTTCTGGAAGACGAATGCGCGCGTGAACGTTGTACTCGTCAACCGTCAGCAAGCTTGAGCCGCAGACACGACAAGACAAATCATCAGGAGGGGCAAAGGCACGGACCGTAGTAGCTTTGCCTCGTGGGCCCGTGGCATCGTCCGTGGCCAAGCTATCCATGGAGGTGTGTGTTGAGCCGTTTTCTTGTCCTAGAAGATATCACGGCATACGACACACTGGCTATATGGAGTAAGTGCTGGCGGTAGATTCACATTGCCATGAACACGCCGGAAATGATTGATGAACACGGCGGCCACGGGCACATATGCATATCGTCAGTACAGAACGCCTCGACCTCAAGAGCCTCGAAATCCATAAGGAACCATGGAAGTGACCTCAAAGGTCTGGGGAGCACTGCGAAGGTTACGCACGCCAATAATAACACAATATTTAGCGATGTCGAACTCGACGAGGCGAAGGAGCGAGCAAGAAGCATGGCCCCAACAATCAGCAACATCAGAGTTCCACTGGGCCCACGCGTACATTTCATCCTGGAGTCGAACGGCCCAACGATTGGTTTGTGGGCGCACGGTGTCCTCAGCGGTGAAAGCCCCCACCCCATCAGACATAGTTCCCAAGAGAACCGGTAAGTACTGCGCATGGGCAAGGGGGTGGCGAATGCAAGCCTGAGCGGAGGATGAGGAGGAGGAGAGGGAGGAGGAGGAGGAGGAGGAGGAGGAGGAGGAGGAGGACGACGACGACGACGACGAGGAAGCGGAGGAGGGTGAGGCGGAGGGGGAGGATGGGGAGGAGGAGGAGGAGAAGGAGAAGGAGGAGGAAGAGGAGGAGGAGACGGACCAGTGCAAACCAAAGACTCATCATCAATGTTGGAATGTGAACGCATGAAAATCGAACCCCGCCCCCTACACGAAGAACTTTAAACCAATTCGACCGCCAATCGACGCGTGAACTGACAGCGGAAACTGCTCGACGGTCAGCCAACGACAACGCCGACCAATCCCACACGCGCGGCGCGCTGCTGCTATGGCCATCGGCGTTTGAACTTGGCGTTGCCTTGTGCTGACACGCGGTCAACGCCCAATGCCATTGCGGATATGCACGCGCTCGTGCCGGGGCAAAAACCAAGGGGCGCGTCAACCCGCGGCGGCGCTGGAAGAACCCCGGACGGCGCCTGGGGCCCGCCGCGCACGGGCGCGCATCGACAAGTTTAGATATCCCAAGAACAAAACTCAGGCACAAAACAATAAGATGTATGGATACATAGACTCCATTTAAGATCGATCTGGACTTCTCCGAAGCGGAAAGCCTCGCGCGGGTGAGCCCCGTAAAACTCAGCTGTCTCAAGAGAAGCGCCCCCGATCTAAGTTTTTCCGTCGGCGGGGATGAGGGGGCGACGGAAGCGGGGGCGGCGGCCCTCGGCTGAGCCAGCGGCGCACCCGTGCGAGGGACAACGCCGCAGTCGCCGCAAACTGCAAACCGCGGGTGTGGCACGCGCGGCCCCTAGAATGCCAGCGCGGGCGCGGGCGCGACGAGCGGGCCCAGGACGTCGCCGCGCGCGCGGGGCCCCCCTGCGGCACCCGGCGATGGCCTCGCCTACAGGGCGCCGACCCTTACGCACATTCGCCATACATGCAGAACGTTGACATGTAAAATCCATAGTTGTGGGGGCTGGTGTCGGTTTCCCACTGTTCAAAATACACCCTCCCTCCAAACTCCGTTTTCCGAAACCCCTGCAAAGGGCAATTTCCACTGAGGGAACTGCCCCTCTGGGGACAACGGTGTGAACATCTCGAAGCGCGCCATAACATCATTCGGCGGACTTCAAGGCTACGTGTTAATATGACTCTAACGTTTGGCGATCCTGAATCTTGCCACAACACCACTCCTGGGACTCCCACGCCGCGAATCAACGTAACTGTTGCGCCCTGACAGCCCTGAATCATTCCAAAACACCGTTTCTGATACACTAACCAGGAGAAGCAGTTAACATATGGCAACTTGTTTATCTTATATATATATATATATATATATATATATATATATATATATATACATAAACAAACAATAAATATAATTATATATATAACATTGTGAAAACGGGCCGCTCTCAATCCGTTAAATTCTTACACGTGTTTAAAACGAGTGGTCGCGGCACAAAAACCAGAATGCCGTTCTGAATAAGAGACACCCTCGATCCGTGAAACTTGTTTGACATGTTTTCAAACGAATACGCAGTTCGCTGGAGTGGAACACACATGTTGAAAACAAGCTGTCGTCAATCGGCGAAGCTCTTCAAACAACGAATGTGCGCGGCGCTATGGCGAATACTATACTTTGAAAAAGAGCAGCCTTCGATCCGTGAAGTTTTTCAAAAAAAAAAAATGATAACGAATGCGCACGGAGCTGAAGCGATAACCACATTGCGAAAACGGCCCACCCTCAATTCGCGAAGATCTTGCATCTTTTTACAACCCAAACAAAAAACGGATGCGCGCGGCGCTAAAGCCAGAACCACATTTCGAAAACGACCGTCCTCCATATGAGAACTGCTGCCAAGTGTAACCATGGGGGTCATAAGTGGCAAGGAGTCCCGGCGAAACTCCCGGCCCCGGGGTGCGACTGGGAGGACTCATCTAGAAAGAAAGGGAATGGAGGAGGAGGAGGAGGAGGAACAAGACGAAGAAAAAGATGACTGAGGATGAAAAGGAGGAGAAAAAGGAAACGGAGGAGGACGAGGAGAAGGAAGAGGAGGAGGTGGAAAAGGTGGGGCAGGAAACGAGGAACTGGCGCGGACACTGGTTCGGGCACGCGGTGGCGGAAGTGGCACGTGCGCCGTGCCGTCGCCCGCCACTGCCCATGCCAAACCCTCCAGGTCCGCCTCTGCCCATGCCACCCGGCCCTCGAATGCCGAGCAGAAAGGCATACCTTCGGGACGCCCCCGTGGAGACGCCGGGTCAGACATAGCCGTAGGCGGCAAAGGGGGAGGAGCAGGAGCAGGAGCAGGCTCAGCAGCATCATCAGGAGACCGAGGAGGCGGATGAAAAGCAGCAACAGCAGCAGTTGCAGCGGCAAGCAATCGGGGAGGCCGAGGGCGGAAGCAAACAGAGAACGAGGAACGGAAGGGTGAAGCAGGCAGGCAGGCAGGCACGCAGGGAAGAGGAGCAAGAAATGAGGAAAAAAAAATAAGGAGGCAGCAGGGGGGGAGGGAGGGAGGGAGGGAGGGACGAAGGGAATGACCGCGGGACGCGAGGAGGGATGTTGGGATGGAGGGAGGGATGCAGGGGGGAGGGAGGGAGGGAGGGAGGGAAGGAGGGAGGGAGGGATGGAGGGAAGGAGGGAGGACAGAACGACAGATAGATAACAGACAAGCAGACAGACAGACAGACAGTCAGTCAGACTCAGACGGACACACAGACCGACACACAGAAACGCGCGGGACGACCAAGGACGGCCCACCAGTGGACAGCGGGGCGGCCCCTCAGGCCCAGATGAAGCAATTCAACGACTTGTAAACGTTAAAATATTGACTCTGCTGATCCGTCTTCCCATCGTCGTCTGGATCGCACAACTACCCCTGTCACGTAGCGTGGGTGCCATAGAAAAGCCACGTAGGCCCATATATGCTTGTGCTTGTTCTACGTAAGCTTCCAAACCATCTCGCCACCGCCTGCTTGGGTGAGCCAACCCAATCACGAAGAAATTGATTGCCCAATGCCGCGTCTGCTTCATGGGTCGTGCGTTTGATCCACTCTGCCCAAGGCTTTAAGGCGTCCTTTACTATGCCCACGATGTCCACCGCATACACACTTCCACGGGTGAATGAGAACAGTCTTGGTCTGACGGCGCCCCGCGACTATTGTTGAACAAGATATCCTCCGCATCGTCCTTCGTGTTCTGCGCAATGTGTCTTCCAAGTGCTTTGTACCAACCCACGTTTCGTTCCCATATACAACCGTCGTTGGTACCTGTCCACCCAAAAGGACGGAGTCCTGCATTGAGGGAACTCCTGCGAACAAGCCGAAACGAAAGTTATTACATAAATCTGTTCGGCCCACATCCTGTCTTCCAGCTCGGTCTCGCGAGGGCGGTCATAACTTACCTTCCGGCCCAAATAAGTTTGGTTTCCATCGTGAGGAATAACGTCATTGCGCATATCACCAATGTAGATACTCTGCCCCTTCGGGCGCCCACTTTCCCTGGAAACCTTCGAAACAACAGTTACCTGATTGGGATGTGCGTCCAATCCGCGTTCGCCGGCTGATGTGCGGATGTCTGGGAGCACGCCCTTGGTCTGATTAAGTGTCCCAACAAGCATGACGTCAGCAGCGAAACGCAAGGGAATGAGCCGCCACAAGGTTGTCGCACCGACTTCGAGGTTCCACCGCCTCCGCCAAGTTGTTCTGACATCGCCATATACGACTTAGTATGGCATTGAAAAGAAGGCTGGTCAAAGGGTATCCACGCCCTCGCAGTATGTGGCACGATCTGATCAATTTCTCAATTCTCATGTTCACAGCTCGGAAAACGATGAACGGAACGATCTAAGGTACCCATCCTATGCGCCTTCCCAGGTCAGCGCTTGCCAACATGCTCTCGTGATCTCCGCAGCCGAAGGCATTCTTGAACTCCATGGTGGATAGCAAAACGTCATACTGTCATTCGCAACACTTCTTGTGCAATGCTGCCACGGCGAACATAGAATGCGCCGAGCCAACACCAGCTGAATCCAGTTTGGTCCGCGCTTTGGTGTTTGGCCCAAAGCGGGGGGTACAATCCAGAGTGCAAAGAAAACAGTTTGTATAGAACCGGTATTGTTGCAGTTGGCCTGTAAATCATGGTTTTCGACGGGTCGCTGGACTTGTGCCGAAAGGTGACGACAGACTCGTTCCATGCCTGTGGTGGCAGAACCTTTGGCGATATGTTGTTGTACAGCTGCACAAGAAATAATCCAACTACGTTCCCACTATCCTTAGCCGTTCCCGCCGTGACTCAACGTGCGCCCCTGCACCTTACTCGCTTTAACTCCCAACCATCTTGTGGTGTTGGGTCTGCGTTTTGAAGAGACGGTCCCCGCGTCCCTCCCCCCCTCCCCCTCCCCCCTCCCTCCTTCTTGGCGAACCCTCACACGCATCGCGGCCCCATAGGGGAGCCCCACCCAAGGCCCCAGCGGCGCGGATCGCATGGCGGCGCCGCCAAATGCTGGCACACCCCTAACACGTTTCGTGGCCTCGTAGGGGTCTCCACCTAACGTCCCAGTGGCGCAGTCCGCATGGCGGCGCCGCCCCATGTTGGCCCACCCCTAACACGTCTCGTGGCCCCATAGGAAGCCCCACCTCAGGTCCCAATGGCGCAGTCAGCATGGCGGCGCCGCCCAATGTTGGCACACCCCTAACACGTCCCGCGGTCCCACACGAACCTCACCTCAGGTCCCACTGGCGCAGTCCGCATGGCGGCGCCGCCCCATTTCGGCACACCCCTCACACGATTCGTGGCCCCATTGGCGCAGTCCGCATGGCGGCGCCGCCACATTTTGGGACACCCCTCACACTGCTCGTGGCCACATAGGAAGCTCCACCTAAGGCCCCAGTGACGCAGTCCGCATGGCGGTGCCGCCCCATTTTGGAGCACCTCTCACACGTCTCGTGGCCCCACAGGGAGCTCCACACCAGGTCCCAGTGGCGCAGTCCGCATGGCGGCGCCACCCCATTTTGGCACACCCTTCGCATGCTTCGTGGCCCCATAGGCAGCCCTTCCTAAGGTCCCAGGTGGCGCGGTCCGCATGGCGGCGCCGCCCGACGTTTGCACACCGTTCACACGCTTCGTGACCCCATAGGCAGCTCCACCGAAGGTCCCAGGTGGCGCGGTCCGCATGGCGGCACTGCCCGATGTTTGCACACCCTTTCACACGCTTCGTGGCCCCATAGGAAGCTCCACCTAAGGCCCCAGCGGCGCGGATCGCATGGCGGCGCCGCCCCATTTCGGCACACCCCGCACACGTTTCGTGGCCCCACAGGGAGCTCCACCTAAGGTCCCAATGGCGCGGTTCGCATGGCGGCGCCGCCTCATTTTGACACACCCCTCACACGTTTCGTGGCCCCATAGAGAGCTCCACGCCAGGTCCCAGTGGCGCAGTCCGCATGGCGGCGCCGCCCCATTTTAGCACACCCCTCACATGGCTCGTGGCCCCATAGGAAGCTCCACCGAAGGCCCCAGTGACGCAGTCCGCATGGCGGCGCCGCCCTATTTTGGCACACCCCTCACACGCTTCGTGGCCCCACAGGGAGCTCCACCTAATCCCAATAGCCCTCTGGGCGTAGGTGGTTTAGGGAGTTTCCTCTTCCACACCATCCTTCTTCCCCTTCGGGGAGGGGTTTACCTGGACGGGGGGGGGGCGCTGGTCGGCAGAGCGTCCAAGATGGCCTCGGCGAGGAAGCCAAAATATCTGATTGTACTAAGGTTTTGGCCCCAGTGTGGCCTCCTGGGGGGGCGACGCTAATTCCCACCTCCCCTTCCTTGATAGATCTCCTCCAAGATGGCCCCAAAAAGCGCCCAGGAGGGCCCAAGAGGTCCCAAGATGGCCCCCAGATGGTCCCAAGAGGCCCCCAGGAGGCCCCCAAGAGACCCCCAAGAGGCCCTAAGAGACCCCCAAGAGGCCCCAAGAGGCTCCCCGAGATACGCAAGAGGCCCCCAGGACCGCCAAGAGGCCCAAAAGACGACCCAAGAGGCCCCCAAGCTCGCCATTGTCCTCCTCCTCCTCCTCCTCCTCCTCCTCCTCCTCCTCCTCCTCCTCCTCCTCCTCCTCCTCCTCCTCCTCCTCTTTTTCTTCCTCTTCCCTCCTCCCCCTCCCTCTCCTCCTCTTCCCTCCTCCTCCTCCTCCTCCTCCTCCTCCTCCTTTTCCTTCTCCTCCTTCTCGTCCTCCAAGTCCTCGCCCTCCTCCATTTCCTCCTCCTCATCTTCCTCCTCCTCCTCCTCCTCCTCCTCCTCCTCCTCCTCCTGCTCCTCCTTTTCCTCCTCCTACTCCGGCGACGACGACTCCTCCTACATCCTCCCCCTCTTGGGGTTTATGGCGGTTTACCCCGCCCCTTGCTATTCTGCATGCCCCCCCGTTTCCCTCATCACCTCCACTCCCCTGGGGTTCATTTCTGGAGGGGTTGGTGGGGATATGCGAAGCGTTTAGAATGTCCCAGTGGCGCAGTCCGCGCGGCGGCGCCGCCCCATTTCGGCACACCCCTCACACGCTTCGTGGCCCCACAGGGAGCTCAACCTCAGGTCCCGGTGGCGAAGTCCGCGCGGCGGCGCCGCCCCATTTCGGCACACCCCGCACACGCTTCGTGGCCCCACAGGGAGCTCCACCTAAGGTCCCAATGGCGCGGTTCGCATGGCGGCGCCGCCCCAGTTTGGCACACCCCTCACACGCTTCGCGGCACCATAGGGAGCTCCGCCCAAGGTCCTGCGCATCGTCATCATCATCGCCATCGTCGCCGCTCGCCCTCCGCATGCTTCGTGGCCCCATACGGAATAGGCCCCAGTGGCAGCGCCCGCGCGGCGTCCCCGCCCCACTTTGGCACATCCCTCACACGTTTTGTGACCCAGAAAAGGGGGCTCTACATCAGAACCCAGCAGCAACGCCCGCATGGCGGCCCCGCCCCATTTCGGCACTGTTCACACGCTTTGTAGCCCCATGAAGAGATCAACCGAAGGCGATACTAACAACGACGGTTCTCACAACTGCATATGGTTGGGCCCTTCGCTAAGCTAACTGTCGGATTGAAGCCCTGAGCCCGTCCAGCGCGAACTCCAAGAGATATCGTCAGAAAGACAGTTCCAGCATAATGCGTGATTGGCCGGCGTGTTGTTTACGGACGAGTACGAATGCGACGTAAGCTCAGCAAAGACATTGGCGATTGACTGCGTGTGGGTAACTACGCATAATATCAGCGTCGCCGACCATATGCCTCACAAGCTGCTTCCGCTAACCAGTACTCACCATGGGGACATTCTCGACATGGCAGGACAAATGCAGGAGCGCATCAAATATTAATGCGGCCCGTTCTCGTCGCAGTGCTCGGCCTTTCCTCGATGTGTGCTTACGAAGCGCGATCCGTTTCCAAAATTTGGCATCGCCGTACAGCGTGCCGTTGCTGATAAACGCGCCGTAATACGAATTCATACTCGCTGCGTTGCTCGCACGCAGCGAACACTGCAGACCCCCAAAAATAATTCTACATGTTTTTTACCTGGCAGATCACAATTGCCCACCTTTCTGTCGAGAAACACCGCGTCAGCACATGCATCCACGGACGCCCATGTCATGATCTGCTGTGTGGTTGTCCTCTTGTCACTCGGGCGCAGGCTGGTACACCCCATGTTCAATGACGAATTCGTGCAAGAATCCGTCACAAACGGTAAAAATTCCACACCAACCAAAATATAACCAACATGTGTGAGATCGCCACCAGCACCTGCATGCGATACCATGCGCCCCCGCCGTTTTGGAGAAAAACGCACTCGCAATGCTAAGCCGTCCGATGCAGGCCCAACAGTTCAACAAATGTCCTCTAGCAAAGGACTGCCCGAGCCCGTACACCAATGATGTGTCGTATGTGACCCTCTTCTTTGCTACCCGCTTCCACGTTTAACTCGCCCGTCAGCACGAATCGATATCGCTCACACCAAGTTTCCAAGTTAACATCCGAAAAATAATCATACGGATTCTGCACGCGCGTACCCCCCTTAACCCGAATGAAGAAAATACGCAGTCGCCAACCGCATGCGCAAAGATCCGCACACTGAATCAACAAAACACGCCATCTCAAACATTAGAGTAAAAGGCCGTACGTGGGGTACCCATCGACTGCGCATAAGAATAGCCACACCTCGTGACATGATGGCCTCCGCCCCATGCGGCAAAAACGTGTCCAACACGCAGAACAAAGCACTGTTGTTGCGTCGGCGGCTAGGCTGAATAACTGCGCTGGCGGACTAAACCGGGGCACCGTTGTAGCGAATTGTGCCACGATGCGAGAAAAAATAAAGGGTAAGATGGCAGCAGAAGGAGGGGGAAGGCCGCTCAGGGAAACGGATCACACCCGGAGCGCGTGGCGCGGCCGGCCCCGCCGGCAAGGTCTGCGGCGGCTGCTGCGCCAGGGTCCCAACGGCGACGGGGCGCATTGCGGGTGCCAGAACAACTCCACCGGGTCAAGGGTAAGATGGCCAGGGCCAACTGTTGATGGCGGCGCGTCTTCCAAGGGGTAGAGCTGGCGCGGTATGCCCAGCAAGTTGCTGGGTGGTTCAGGCGGCGGGCGGCAAGACCAAGCCCGGGGTTCCAGCCCGCGACTGCGGGCACCGCCATGGCGGCGCGCGCGGGGAGGGAGAGCGAACGGGGAGGGCGGAAGCGGACAGGGAGGAGGACGCCACGCCTGCAGAAACCCACAGGCGGGACGAAGGCGCAGGGCTGCAGCGGCGGCGCCAGGCTGCACCACCCGCGCGCGGAGGGCAACTGAGGGTGAGCCCGCCGCGAGCGGCGGCGGCCAGAGGAGCTGGAAGCCGGCAGCGGCGCCCAGAGGGCGGAAGGGCGGCTGAGGCGGTCCCCGGAGCGGGGGGCGAAGAAAGGGCGGCACCTAACCGGTGCGTGGCGATGTGTAAGTGACGGGTGGCCCCTCTGCCCGGGTGGACAAGGTGAGCCGATGTGGGACATGGGCGGCCACCACCGTCAAGGTAGACGGCAGCGGCCGCGCTTTGGCCAGCCAAAACTGTTGCCAGCCAGCGCCCCGAGCCCAGCGGGCAAGGGAGGGGCAGGCCAGGGAGGGCACCAAACTGATGCACGGCGGAAAAACGAAAGGGACGGACCCCCTGCACGGGTGGACAGGGTGGGCCGCAGGGGGGAACAAGAGTGACCACCGCCGTCAAGTAGACAGCAGCGGGCGCGCCTTGGAAGGCCAAAACTGCGGCCGAAGCCAGCGCCCCCAGCCCGAGCGGGCAGGGGGGTCGTGCGAGGGGGAACACCTAACTGGCGCACAGCGACGGAAGTATAAGAGGCTGCCCACCCGGCCCAGGTGGACAGGGTGAGCCGCGGTGGGGACGACAAGGGCGGTCACCGCGGCCAATGTGGACAGCAGTGGGTGCACCCTGGCGCGCAAAACTGCGGCCCTAGCCCGCGCCTTCGGCCCGACTGGGCGAGAGGGGCAAAGGTCAGGCACCGCGCAGGTGCCAGGCAGGAAGGGCACGGAACGGAGGCGGCGGGACGCCGAAAGGCACGAGCCGCGGCGCGGTGAGGGGGAGGGAAGGATGGACGGGGTACGGTCGAGCCGCGCACCGCTGGGTAGGCGGACGCGCGGCACGAGCCACCGTAGGCTCAGGAGAGGACCCCGCAAAACAAGACACTCTCTAGCTTCAGGCCGCGACGTCTCGTTCAAGCAAACGCAATCCCAATGCGCACCCGATAATTACAATAATAGCTCTACAGCAGTCCAGTCGTCGCAGACGGGGCCCCAGACATTCAGACGAGGAACGTGCAAATCAGGTGCAGTCTGAAGAGTATGTGGCACTATGTGATGTGATTGATGCTCTCTCCTTTACGTGCCCCGTCTGGATACCGCGCAGCGCTCCCAAAGGAAAACGTCCACATACATTATAGTGATGCGGTCGACCTTTCCGCCTTGACGAAATAATACCCTCATGCAATTACCATCATTGCTCCGCTCCGTTATCCGTTCCT